GTTAAACTTTTAATTAATAAATTTTTGATTGCTGAATTTTTTGATTGTCAAATTTTTGATTGCCAAATTTTTGATTGTCGAATTTTTGATTGTCGATTTTTTGATTATCGATTTTTTGATTGCTGAATTTTTGATTGTTGAATTTTTGATTGCCACTTTATTGCCGAAATGTAATATGCCGAGTGGCAACAATCGAAAAGAATTCAGCAATATTTTTATTATTAAATTTAATCAAATTCGGCAATAATTCAACTGCCGAATGACATAATTTCAACTAGTGTTAAGTTGATTCAAGAATATCTTAAAAATCAGCACAAAATAAAATCTATAATCACAAGAGAAGCCTTAAAAAAACTTCATTAATATATATAAAAAAGTATTAAAAAAAAGATTCAAAACAACCATAATACTATTGTAATTAAATAGAAGAGAATTTTAGATATAATATGAAAAAACAAGATAGATAAAATATCAAGAAACTAGAGTGTCAATACTATAATAGACTCTGAAAGAGAAGACAGCCCATTCAATAAGAATAATATAGAAGATTAATATTATAAGAATACTATTTAATTGAAAGAAGTTATTGAAAAATAGATAATAAAGGAAAAAAAATGGTTTGGTTTTTAACTTACTGATAGAACTATAGATAATTTATAGTGATGACTTGTAAGTATTGAACTTCATAGTTGAAGGATAATTCAAACTATGAAGGAAGCAAAATATCATTCTCTAAGTTGCATCTAGAAAAAGAATTTCGCGACAGATAAGCTAATACAGTATATTTCAAATGTTAATATAAAAGTTTTTACACCTGTGAAAGAGATATGCAATGCATTAAGCCATTATAAAGCGGATGTGACGTATCGTGGACGCACGCCAAGAAAAAGTATGGTCCTGTAAACTTTCTCCCACACTGTAGAACAGAATGTAGCACGAAACGCGCGTGTCAATTCTTCGAGATGAACAAAAGACGCGTTTTTTTTTTCACTATCACGTGTTATCGATTCGATCAGATCCAATCAGATTCAACCAGATCCGTACACTAATAACAAAAGAATCGTCAAAATCTTTTTTCAAAGATGGATCCCAATATGTCAGGCAGTGATGTGATTGAAGAAAGGCATGATCAAAGACTTAATCATCGTAACCTTCCGACAACCGCTTTCTTAGAACAAACCCTGCTCTACATTGAAACAAGTAGCCCCCTGAATCTTATTCCCGTTACCGAATTTCTCAGGCAAGAGATAGTGCTACGCGTCTCGGCCATAGAAGATCGCTGTTCAAAAGTTTGGCTATTCTCGAAGCTTGTAGAACTTGGATTACCTTCTTTTTACTTGTTTGTTACCTTGTTCTTGCTTTCAAGTTTAACAGTTAGATATATGTATAAGAATTCTATCAATCTCCTTTGCAACCTGCTGGGCGTAGTGTACCCAACTTATAGGTCGATCAAAGCAATTGATAAGCAAGATTCTGATGACGTGGCAATTGAACAAAGACAATGGTTAACTTACTGGGTAGTTTATGGATGGCTTCAGGTCGCGGACCATTGGTCCAGTTGGCTTCTTAGGGTGTTCCCAGGGTACAATTTTTTTAAGTTAATATTCTTATATTGGGCACAGAATGATCGTTCCAGGGGTGCAACATTCATCTTTGAGCGTGTCATAAGGCCGTTATTACGTAAGCCGCAAAGAAGGGTAGATACGACACAAAAAATGAGGCCGTCGACTCGACAACGGCAGCAGTATGATCAATCCGCCAGGAAAAATACAGAGAATCCTTCGGTCCCTTCTTCAAGTGTTCCTTATAGGCCCGATGCATCACTTGAGGACATTTGGGGGAGGGATCCGGAGACACGTGAAACCGAGATAAAACCGTACCGGTTGAATAACTTATAAGTTTAGTTGTGTACAATGTTTACGAAGTTCGAATAATGTAATGACAGATTTTATAGATTTTACTTTGCGTTTTCCTTTCCAATCACAATAATGCAATAAATAAATTATTAATCGCAATACGCAATAACATCACATCACATTTTTTTGCGCTTTTCTTTCTGATCACTCTTGTACGTTTTTGAACTTTTTCGTTTAACCTGTTTGATGATTATGAATTTAGCGAATTATGCATGCGAAATTAATTATCATAATACGTGAACCTACCGAATTTATTAATGATGTCAGATTTTGATCGTCGAATGAACTTCCAGAGTTCTGTTTCTGCTCGATCTAAGTAAGACCCAAAGGTAAATAAGAAATTTTGACAAGGAGGCTTTGAAGAATCACGAGAAGGAAAGAACCTCATTCTTTTCGGTTATGTTTCGTTTGTCCTTTCCATTCATGTCGAATCGCTGTTCTTCTAGTAATCTGGACATGGCTTTCGTCTTTTTAAAACTAGTATTGATCAAGGAAGCAGATACTTGAAAAAACGGAAATCTCACACATATAGATCGCACAAAATATAGGATACTGAGAGTTGGTGGGATCGATCGCAAAATGATGTGAATTGTACAAGGCGGCAAAACGAGAATCATCCGTGTTTATTTCAAACGAGTCGTTATCATTTTGTGCGCCTTTGTCGAGTTTCTTTTTCCTGCCTTTTTTTTTCTCATTCTTGATGATTTCTTTCATGTCAAAATGCCGTCTTTCATGATCGTCTTCGTCACCAGCGACAAGAAGTTCCAATTCTGCCTTTTTTCGATTCATCTCCATGCGATCTTGCTGAGACATCTTATGTACACCTTTAGATTTATTTGACCTCGAACTTGAGAAAAAGGGATCATCAAAATTGATATTGATGTCCTCGGTTTTCCCTAAACTCGGATTGGTTATCGACTAAATATCTTTAATATGATTCCATCAATTACCTCAAACATATTTACCTTCATTGATACTATTTAATTTTCTCGTAGCCTTTTTCTTTTTCTTTCTTTCGAGTTGTTTGCGCTTATATGCTTCAATGGTAGTTTCGTTCTCGACAGGCTTCATAAAAAATACGCAACGCGTTCGAATATCATCAATCTTCATAAAGAAAACGATCAAACAAACAAAGAATCGCAACCTTGTTTTCCGAGGTTTCCTCGGTAATTTCTCTCAACCCAGGTGTAAATGTGATTTCCATTTCCTGTTCCACATCCGATTGGTCATGCGATACCGCTTCATTCAAGAGATTCCTAAGTTTTTGACGCGAGACTTCAACATCACTTTCAGAATTTTCTTCACTGGAGGAGGCAAGGTAAGCTTTGAAATCCATGTTGTCGAGATCCTTTTTTGTAAATTTTTGTCGAGTTAACTTCACGCGATCGGGATCATCCTCATCCCATGTCAATTTGACATTTGAATGTTGTAATGCCTTTATTTTTATTGATTTTTATTTATTTATTTAAAAATTTTTTTTTTTTAAAAAAAAAATCATTCTTAAATATTCAAGCGAACAAGATGAATCTATTGGTTTTAATAATGTCATCGATACTCACGTCGGTAACAAAATCCACGGGTTTGTATGAATCTGGTTCTTGTAGGCATTCTTCTCTAATATATATTTTTTTTATCAAAGAGAAATGTTAATATAGATTAATGAATGTGTGGTAACGCTTTATCGAAATCTTATATACTTGATCTCATCACCGAACACCATATCATCAGGAATAAAGCGTAAATCAAGGAAATTTGCTGTCCTTTCAAATTCCGCACCATCGCACTGTTGATAAATGTGATACGCGTTTTCCGTTGTATCGCAATCTACGACCGCATAGTAATACCTGCGTCCAACAAATTAAAAAAAAAAAAAAACAACGATAAATAAAAAATTTGATCAAGCCAATAATACAAAATGATAATACTTTAAGCGTTCCAATTGATATTTTCTCAATAATTCCTCGTCAAAATCGTCGTCCGCGTTACTCTTTTTGATTGACTCTGAGCTGATCACTTCTTGGTCGTCAGGAAATACGTCGTCATCTCGCGAAGAGAGGTCGTTCGATTTGAATACTTCCTTTGGTGGACCTTCAATGATTTCCTATGTCGACAACGTGGAATATAGATATAAGGATCAACAGAAAACGGAACCAAAGAAACTGACATGTACCTTTTCCAATCTTTCTTTTCCAAACTGGGAAGGATAAATTTTCACGGATTTTATGATAGACCCTTCGATCTTAAAGCTACTAAATAATTTCATTAAATCCGAAGCTTTCACATTGTCCCAATCGAGGTTTATAACGGCAAATCGATGCGTCTTTTCACCGAAACGAATTTGTTCGTCCGATCCTTCCTCCTCAAATTCTTCTAAACGTGTTTCCTCGTCATCCTCGTCATCCTCGTCTGACGATGAAATTACCCCTTTGCCTCTAGCAGGATCAAACACAACTGAATCGTTATCGTTGTCGGATCCTGAGCTTTTAGAGGATTCTTCGCCTATCGGGGAGGGTTCTTGTTCGTCGGCTTTCTCCTCTAGAGAGTCTGTTGACGGGCTATTCAGCCTATAAAACCTTTTCAATTCTGTCTCTGTTTTATCCGACGAAATTGGACGACCATATTTATCAACCTTGGCTAGAGAACGAGTAATTTTGAGGCGTTTAAAAGACGTTTGGATAATCGTTATTAAGAAAAAGGAGGCCCGGATACATACGAGACTCGCTAAATTCTTTGGTCTTCAAGAGTTGAGCAAACCGATTGTCTAAAGTGATTTTTACGTCTTTCTTCTTCGGGCGTTCAAAACGTGGATCTTTCGAAACATGCTTAAATCTTGGATCTTCGGTGACCAAAATGTCAGTTTGCTTTTGCTTTTTTTTAATATTCGCTTCCGTGTCCTTTCCTTTCATTACGCGCCAAAAAAAAAAAAAAAAAAAAAACGAGAAATGAATGAATATCTACTGTTACACGAATTCTTGGCGTGACGTCACAGAAACTTATCGGAATAATTACCTAGATTAGTCCTACCATTTCACAGGGACTCAGAATGTTTGGGGCTAAAGAGAAGGTTTTTTTAACGGCTGAGGGCAGATCGTAGGTGGTTTCGATTTTGAAATGTTCTTTATGTTTTGTGAAAATGTCTTTTTTTAATTTATGGATATTTTGTTAATTAAGCCCCTGGTACAGGTACGTCATATTTTCGAAGTTTCATTTCAAGCGTGCAAGTTAATAAATTAAATTTTTTTTTTGCAGACGTGATGGTACAAAATTCAGCTGCTACTTGATTGGCATTGCAGGTACGTGCACTTATGCCGGAAAGACTGGTTCTTTGTTTTTTTTTTTTTTTTTCAGAAAAAAAAATAAATGATAATTCTTTAGGAGGAAGTGCCAGTGGGAAAACTAGCGTTTCCAAGTATGCGTTTTCTAGGTGTTTAAAAGAAACGTGGATCTTTTTTAGTCTAATGAGCGGAAATTTTTAACAGGAGTATAATAAAAAATTTAAATGTACCTTGGGTTATCCAAGTTAGTATGGATGCCTTTTACAATGTTTTGACGCCCGAACAGAAGGAGGCGGCTGCAAACAGGTATGACCCCATTACGCTGTGACACGTTGAGTTTCATCTTCGATTATATCTAATATCCGCACCATTCAAAAGCAATCACAACTTTGATCATCCCGACGCGTTCGATTTCGATTTGCTGCTGGAGACCCTGAGAAATTTGAAAGAAGGGTACAAAATTCATTGATAAAAACTTTTTGGTTTTATTAATGACCTCATTCAAAATTTATCTCATAGAAAGAGCGTCGAAATTCCGCAATATGATTTTGTAACCCACTCTAGGTAAATATTTGACTGGATTTACGAGTTGGCTTCTTTTTTTTTTTTGCAATAATTTATCACGTTCAATCATAACCACTTAATTTAAGGCTCCCAAAGACAACCACCCTCTACGGTGCGAATGTCATCATATTTGAGGGGATTTTTGCTTTATATGATAAAAGAATTGTAGATCTGATGGATATAAAGGTTTGTTTACGCGATCGATCATTAATTTAATGTTGGCATCATTTAATTATTATTATTTTTTTTTTATTAGATTTTTGTGGACACCGATGATGATATTCGACTCGCGCGTCGCTGTAAGCTTGAACTCATTTCTATTGCAACTCGTTGATACAATGGTACACGGTATTATTCTAAGATGCGGTGTAAATTGTTAGTGGTACGGGATACCAACGAACGAGGGCGCGATTTAAACAGTGTCCTACAGGTATATATTTATTCGTTTCCACAAAGAAAATGGTTCGCACAGGGGACGCTGAAATTGTGATTCTTGACGTATAGCAATATCAGAAATTTGTCAAACCGTCTTTCGAGGAGTTCATAAAACCTACCATGAAAAACGCCGACGTGGTAAAATGAACGCGTGCATTTCTATCTTGATGTTCTTTTCACGGTTAAAAATAATAACGGGATGGCGATAAATTAGATTATTCCACGTGGTCTCGAAAATTTGGTGGCCATAGACTTAATTACCAAGCACATTCAGGGTCAACTTCAAGAGCTCCGTTTTAATTTTCGATGGGATTTGACGAAAATTGAATGTGGAAAAGAGTTGCCCAAGAATGTTATAATCCTTGAACAGAAACCTCAATTAAGAGTAAGCATCTTTTTTATTCAATTAGATTTTTTAAATCTCCTAATTAACAAGTATATCCCATTGCTCAATTCGCAAAAGGGAATACAAACGATCATTCGCGATCGAAATACGCAGCGCGATGATTTCATATTCTACGCCGAACGCCTTGCAACTTTGGTTGTCGAACGGTAGGTTAGATTATTACATTACGGCTTTGCAGCCAAATTTAGCGCGCGTGTCTTATCTCATGCGATCGCGAATAACTATAGGGGCCTGGCTGAGCTGGCCTTTGATGAACACCGAATCACAACGCCGCTCAATTTACCTTATGTAGGCAAGAAATTCGACGGTCAGGTATTTATTCTCCATTTCACAATTGATTTCACGATTTAGTTAAACGCTTTTGCCATTTATAGCTCTGCGCCGTCTCTGTGGTCCGTGCCGGTGGCACGATGGAGACCGGATTTAGAAGGGCCGTTAAAGATGCCACGATCGGTAAAATCCTGATTCAAACGAACCCGAAGACCGGTGAACCATCAGTATGAACTCCTTTTTTTTCGTTTGAATTTCCGCGCAAGTCCTCTCACTATTCTTCTCATAATCGCTATTATTAAGCTACATTACACGAAACTCCCATCGAATATACACAAATTCCATGTTTTTCTTATGGTATTTATAGAAATGAGGGAGTTTTTGTTTTTTTTTTTTTTTACGTCGATGCTTATAAATTTATTATATTCATTCCATCGAGGATGCTCAAATTGCGACCGGTGCTGCTGCGTTGATCAAAGCACTTTACGACACACGAAATACCCAAACATCTTTTCTATTGGAGACGCCACTTGTTGTCCGACTTCAAAGACCGCGGCTGCAGTTGCCGCGCAATCAGGTGTTGTGAAGAAAAATTTGTTGCATGCCATCATCGAAGGGCCTAATTCAAGCGATGTGGCAAAATATGATGGTTATGCTAGCTGTCCTTTAGTAGTTGGTCAAGATAAAGTAGTCTTGGCCGAGTTCAGTGGGTACACTACAAAGCCAATGGAAACTTTTCCATTTGATCAAGGAAAAGAATCATCCTCCATGTACTTCCTCACCAAAGAAGTAAGTCTTTTATTTCCAAACCCGTATTTTTGCTAACAAATACATTTCATTGTTTCTCATGTGATGATGATTAAACGACCCTTCGCAGATTTTGCCGGAAATTTATTGGAACCGCCTGTTGAAGGGGACCTGGGAAGGTCCACATCAGTTCAGAAAGTGGTTCTCATACTTTGGATAGTTGAAATCGTCGCGTTTATTTTTCGAGGTTTTCGCGAAGTAAATATTCGCGTAAAATTAGCTAACAGATTCTCAGAAATTTGCGCCTGAATGATTTTCTATACATTGACACCGTATTTATTATTAGTCAACATTATACAATACAATAACAATTAATATAATAAATATTATAATGCCCTTCTAATTAGGTATTGAGATAGCAAATTGAATATAAACCTTTATGTGCCATAGTAACGATCTGTAAGATAACAGGTGATATTAACATAGTATTGCCTCAAGACAACGTGAAAAAAAAAAA